GCTGCAAGTCGACATTTCATGTTCAAATTCAGTCTAAACGTGATTACTTTATGGGAATAACACCTGCTCATTGACGCCAATAATTATTGGACCACTCCCACTCTTTCGCAAATTCTGGACCATCTTCAAGATTAACTCGCCTACTCGTCATGATTTTTCTTGCGACGAACCGTCTGACCATTCCCAACAGTATTAGTAGCAGAGGCATTCTGAACAGATGATTAAACCAGGGACCAATTAAAATATTGGCTCAGGACGTCACTTACCTGCAATGGCTCCACACTAGACATTTTCTAGTACTCTGTACCAAGAGACCTTTTCATATGGAACTTACTACGCATCAAATACACTTCTCGAATGATGCCGCCTATGCTAATACAAAAGATGCTCGAAGTCTATGGACTATTGACTGTTTCAACACCTATTTTCACCCAGTACAACAAGTATTCCCAGCAGAATTAATCTATATCACCTTTAAAAGTAACATGGTGACCTGGATATGCATTGATGTAGCCATACACGTTGGTTATATAACTGTGGATACTTTACTGATACTCCAGATCGTATAACCGGGTCCTTTATGGTTAGCAAACTAAAAACTGAAGATCATTCTAAGTAACAAACTATTATATCACTAATCAGCAAACTATGCGAATAGACTAACAACGTCGGTTGGCTACGACGCAAACTTTGAACACTGCGCGCTTCTGATATTGATAATGGAACCTATCTATGTGATGGGAGATGGCAATCCACATCCGTCTCATGAATTTCAGCAAATTTCAATAAGATTATGCGCACTAATGACTTGATATGTAAATTATGTAATACTAGATACTTTCAAAAGTTATGACTTTGACGGTGCTTGTAAACTAGTATCCCTCATGTTAAGTCTGTTAAATGATGGCGACATTTACTATTATCTAAACTTTAATGCCCTATTTAGGCTGTAAAGTAATATTTCCTCGTTCATTTCATAACTAGCAGGACCTTCGGCAGTTTTTTTAAAATTGAGTTTAATGGCATTCCATCAGTACTCAGGGCTCAAGTCTTGTAGACATTTTGACAGGTATCAACGTGATGAAGCCTGTAAACTGGCTTCTCTCATGTTAAAATCCTTTTTTTAACACGAGAATAAAACATTTATTTAGTTATTTATAATCAGATTGGTTCGACCTACCAACGACAGAACTCAGTCCTTCCACGAGGATAGGCTATAACTTCTGCGAACCAGCTTCTTTAGTTGCACAACTGCTCCTCTCTCGAAGTTCAATAATCAACCCCTCGTAGACCTCCTGCGGTGCTACAGACAGTTCTTTATGCAGAGCCTCGCTCACCTCGTTGACTGTTAGTGACCCAACATTCAATCACAAATCTTTGCAACATAAGTATATCCCAAATGCATAGACTGCATATATCTTGGGTCGTGCAACAGCCTGAACCAGCTTCATCAGATCTACACGGTATAATAGAATTGGATATGCCGTGAGTTCAGTGGTGCTTACTTTTGTTCAAACCAACCATTTGAATTTTCCGTGGGTTCTTTTCAGTTGGGACTAACAGCCTTTACGATTTCTCTTTTCTTTAGGAAAGTGGGGCAGTCAAGTCAGGCCTTTGAATCTAACTCTTCCTATACATCTCATCTGAGCTAGCGTGTTCGTGCTGGTTCGTGGACGTCAACTGATGAGTGATGGCTAGATGGTTAGATACAAACGTGCTACATCGGCTCTCCATGCTTCTCACGTGGTAGGGGACTATCACAGAGTCTGCCTAGGAGTAAGGTTTGTCAAATATATTTGAAAGATCTTCTCCTAAAACCTCATCCTCGCCATAAACTTAAGCGCTGTACGGAGGTTTATGTTTGGAGATACTCCATGAGTAGACGAATCCCTTGCAGCCAGTTTCAGCGGGGTCATAAAACGTATACACTTCACTTCTCCCAGCTTCTTCACAATCTTTCCCTTAATACTCCTGAGCACTGTAACCTGCCCGGGCTTCCTCTCAGAGTTAACCCAAAACCTTCCCAAAAGGACGTGACGTTTGTACTTAAAGGCCGATTCTAACTAATATAGAACTCACAGGAACTCTGTGAGAGCTGTGTTACGGGTAGACAAATTAAGGCAACCAAACCCTGTAGATTAAAAGGTGATAGGACCGCAGATAACATTCCTCTTCTTGTCACGGGTATATCGGCTGGACGGAAACAAACGTTAACATTACCATAAGCCTTGCTGAGTGCTGTACAGCTTAACCCTTGAGAGAAAGGTGTCGCCTGCTGTTTCCACGCCATTGAAGGTCGAAAGGGATGCCGTCACCGGTTTCAAATTGGTTATCCAGTTTCTTAATCTAAAACCTCCCCAAGCCATCATTTCATTTAGTTGCCCCTCAAACCTTCTCGCAATGCCATCTTCTGGAAAGAATATGAGTCGATCGATGACAGTTGTTTTTCGCCGACTCCACTACTGTGCCATCACAATCCCTAGCAAATTTTTGTGTGGTATTTAACAACGAGAAATTTGCACAAAATGGGAAAGATACTGCCTTAAATAAGTATGATGTCATTTGGTGAGCAATAGGTGTCTTAGAGATACCACCCACCGACCTGAAAAAGGAATCCAGTGCGCCACGGTCAGTCTTCGGGGATCTTACTTTTACAAACACCTTCCACACCGGCAGACAAGATGACAGACTTTATACAAAACACAGCAGTACACCAACTCACTTTGCTATTGTGTCTGGGCCTTGATATAGCAGGTCACTCGAAGATTTGCCGGCGACTTTGGTGGCGCAGCTGAAAAAATTCTAATTTTTTCATTGGATTCAGCAGTGGGTGTCGCGGCAAGTACCATCTTAGTCGATAAGTAGAGCCTAGATGTAATGGTGGAAATGACGCTAGGTATCCCTCATCAATGGTTTGCTGCATAGCCTTGGTGAAATTCTCACGCAGATCTTCATGGCACATCAGCTGACGTTTCGAGCTCTCTAGTATTCACCTGGCCAAGCCACAGCTGCCAGCAACCAGGGACGTTTCTACTTTACAGGATAGGTAGGCAACACAGTCGTCGTTATCAAAGTTTGAGTCTAGCCGATCTACGTCAATCACTATCGAATCGTCCGTTGACCAAGAGTTATCAGAGCAATGCATGTCATCAAAATCACATTCAAGTGTCCTTCTGTGGGTCTACAGTGCGGCTGCTTTGCACTGTATAAGTCTCCAGACTGCCGTCAAACTCGCCGCAGCTCGATGACCCAAAAAAGGACCCAACCCAGCAAGGTTATAAAGACATAAGAATGCTTCACCCTCTGAATCTCTAGCCTAAAACCCTGTGGGCTTCGCGCGCGTCGTGCTCAATGAGCAACGCAACGTCGCAGTCGATAGGCTCTGCTCATTCGGGTCTAGAAGATGATACCAAACCCTAATGCTTTCTCTCGCTGGCCCTCTTCGTCTTCAAACAGGCAAGTTTTCAACGACAATTGCCTGCACGCCTCAGATATGTTCACCTTGTCTAGAAAGCAACACCAGATGGGCTACTTATGGAGCTTGGTGCTTTTTCACTTGCCACCGTTTCGACGGTTACCCTCGTACCTTGTGGTGGCAAGTCTAAAAGACGCAAAGTGTCTGACTTTATCAGCGTGGCGTCAGAACCATTATCCAAGAGAACATAACCTGCAGCCTGCCCACCGTCAACCTTCAGGCGTACTTGTATGAATCCAAGAAGCACCCCATCCCTTGGTGACCCTGTGAGTCCACAATGACCCTTCCTTGTGGGTCACTTCACATCACCTGGTATTGGTGAGGCCATGTGCAACGAATTTCGGTGACGCCCATCACGGTTAACTACTTTACATGTCACGCGAGTGTTACGCTCTTTCAGTTTATGACTTCCTCTGAGACGAAGAAGACAGAGGCTTTTTTCCATCCCCCTTGACCACCCGTCATTGGTGGTCAGTGTCAAGAAGCGGCGTCAATGCAGGTTCAAGTGGGTCCCGCGACAGCATATGCAGCGCTTTCGCATGAGCATCCCCAAAATTTAGTTGACTAGTTGCGCATGTTATCCGGTTGGGGTTTCGTTGGCTGAGCGGCGCAGCCTACTCAACAGTACTCTAGCTTGAGACGATAAAATCTGGCCAGCTTTGAGAACATCAGTCCACGAATGCCGTTCACGTTCAGCCCATCTCATATGTGCAGTGGGGGTAGCCCTTTCAATACACACTCTAGAGCTTCTATGGAGTTGAGACCAGCCGAACAATCCGTATGTTCTAGAGTCATGGCAAGATTCTTGATTTTCATAGCCAACCGCGATAACCTTTCGGCATCGCCATGCTGTATGCCGGGACCCTCAATCAGATCGTTCAGCAAAGCACGAAACCACACGACGTGGTTGACCATAGGCGGGTGCAAAATATCTCACGGGCTTTTCGGTAGCCCAAGGACAGGGCAACATAACGCGAACCCCTATGGCCTCTCGTGCCTTCCGTTTACGGCAACGCAACAAGTATAACAAACGTTGACCGTCGTCTTCAATCTTCAATGAAACATAGAAATCGAGCTGTTTAATTATTTTTTAGCTAGCAGCTGGTTGTCCATCTCCTCCCAAAAGTTTTCAACATACAAGGGTGTCCGAAACTCACAGGGCCCTACGGCCACTCGTCATGTGCATTCCACGGGAACTATCCTTTGTCCTCTGACCTCTCCATCATTTCTAACAACTCTAGACCTCACTGAAGTCGTAACATTTGCTTCTTTTGTTTACTCCATAACTGGAAGGAATCTAACTCACGCCTTTCTTGTTACTCGATCAGCGCAAGTCCAGCACTGGCAAAAATTACCAAGGGACCATAAGAGCTGTCAAGTGTAAACATATTATTGAGGGCTTGCCAGTTTACTTGATGATCATGTGCTCCACATATGCTGACGTCGAATCCATATCACACCTTACGCCCCAAGCAGGGGGTGCTATCCAATGAATTTTCAAACGTTGAGAACTTTGGTGACCAAAATGCTGTTGTTCGTGTCACAGAGTACTGTTCAGTCTGGGATAGGCTATCAACCAGCCGAAAGTATACGGCTGATTGATGCAAGAAACCAGTGAACGATCTAACCAGCGTCGATCGTGCCAAACGTTTGTCCGATAACACGCGTTTCCACCCATCTGAAAAGATGGAGGGGGAACGTTGGCGCGGGATAGGGAGAAAGCCGTAAGACGCGCACGAATATGAAGTGGTGCGCATAAGATTATTATCAGAGTAGATGAAGGTGTATTCTGCGTGCACTTTAAAGTTAAAATTTTTTTTAAACACTTTCAAACATTTTTCGTGATACATGAGTTGTGACGAAACATAGAATTCAGGAGCATGTTATCACCAGTCAGACTTGATCAGGCCTCACATTCTGAGGCCACTACATGGTTAGATCTGTTAGGCGTTCGAGCTGGTGAATATACCTACCGACACGTGTAGACGGCTCTTCGCCGCCATCAGTAACTTCTTTGTGGGTACGGTCATCGTCTTTTGAACCGAGGAGTCCTCATTGGTTTTCTGCGGCAATACCTGTACTGATAATAATAATAATGATAATAATATATTTCATGCAACAAAGGTTACATGAATACAAACCAGTTTACAGGTTTGATCACTTTGGTAATGAGAGATGACTATTATGTACAATGTTATGCTATACATTAGATGCTGTGATTTATGGCATATAGGAGGCATGTTGAAGCAGGCTCAGTTCGAATTTGAAGATTATCCGGTCATCGTTTGAATCATCCAATATTCTTGAAGGTGAGGCCGCATCACAGTCATGACCTTGGGGTGTGCGCGTTCGTCATCAGGTTTCGGTGCCAATATTTCCCACTGACGAATGCGATTTGTAGGATTCCATTTGAATGCAGGACTGGTTAAGTAAATCTGAAAAGTGAATAACAAAAGCGAGCAGCAGGCGAAATTTGTAACAGGAGCACAAAAATACGCAGGAGTAGATCGACCATGATACATCTGGGTGAGTTTGTACTGACTATTAAACTTACTTGAGGAAGTGTCCAGAACCAACTGTTTAGAGGTAAGCTTAGGTGGAAGAAGATGAAGGTGCGCACGACAGTAATGAAAGTCAGCCTGAAGCTGAAGATATCACTACGAAATAGAAAGATTAGAGGATATTTGACCAGGTATTAACTTGTTATATACCTATGTACAAGCGTATGATGAAGTTATAAACATTTAGGTGAAATTCGTGGTTTTTTTTTGTTCTTAGGACCACCACCCTTTATCTGGTCACGAGGGGATGATCATGGTGTTGCCTGTTGAGCATTACCATATCGGGTCTACCGAAACTATGTTGGTGCAGAGTACTTAGATGTAAGGGCAAATAATAAAGAGTTGCATGCTATGAAAATGCACCGACAGACAGTTCTTTTATCTTTTCGGAGTGGAGAGTTTACTTTAAGGGGCGATTTTTAGGAAATAGGTGTTAAGTCGTGAGATCGGTTAGGTTGTGAAGAAAAGTAGGTTACATTTGAGTATCTAATAAGTTCACTGTAGCATATCGTGTCGCACTCCGCTTCCTGTCCACTCTTGGTCATTTTTTTTCTAAGAAATTAGATTTTAACTTAACTATTGCGTTTAGTTTTCGGCATTGTATACTTATGTCATTGCTGTTAGTCTCCCTTGAGTCTAGGTACCAGTAGTACCTTAGTGCATGGCATTACCGTTTGTGGTTTGGCCGTCAACGAATTGATGAGATTCGTTAGATAGGAGGAATTTACTAAGTAGTCGTTGAAACTGGCCGAGCGAACGGCATGCTCGTATAGGAGCGGGAAGTTTGTTCCACAGCATACTGTATTGCGTTATGAAAAACCTACATCGAAGTTTTGAGCGATACTTATTTATTGGGATGATGTTCTCGCTATTACGCAGATTATATGCCTGTGTTGTTTTAAAAGTGACAGCACATTTCGTTTTAGGGTTTGTAAATAAAAGACGAAAAAGAAGTGTTAAGTTGAGCTTCAGGCGTCTCAGCCAGAGTGATTCTAGTCCTAGTTTTTTGCATCTTGCTTCGTAAGGAAGTCCTTCGTTATGTATTAGTAGGCGCCGAGTAAAGTTCCGTTGAATGTTCTCTACTCGAATTCTGTCCGACACATTCATGCTACCATAGATAACGGTGCAGTACTCTAATATTGGGCGAACCATAGCCTTGTACAGTATAAGTTTTGCCTCAGGTATGAGTATGTTTCTGTGTAGAAGACCGATGAGTCTTCTGCCCTTGGAAACTACTGAGTCTGCATACTCCGTAAAAGTCAAACTTCTGGAGTAAGTGATTCCGAGGTCTTTCACAGTGTTGTATACCTGCAGTGCAATATCACCCAAGTGTAGCGTTACTTCTGGGTGGGATTTATTGAAATGGAGGATGCCACTTTTATTTGGGTTTAGAGGGAGCTGCCAGGTCTCGCTCCATATGAATATCCTCTTCAGATCTTCTTGTATTTGAGAGAAACCCTGTGTTAGTGCTGCAGGAGAAAAGCTGTAGACTATCTTCAAGTCGTCAGCGAAAAGGTAGGGTATGCCATTTCGGATAACACTGCAGATATCGTTTACATAGATTAGGAAAAGTATCGGTCCTAGCACACTACCCTGGACGACACCACTTTGTATAAGTCTAGGGGTGGAGTAGCAATTACTGAATTTTACTACTTGGAAGCGACCCTCTAAAGATGTTCTGAGCCAGGACAGTAACGGGTCTCGGAAACCATATGATTGCAACTTAGTGACCAGGCGTTTGTGAGGCACCTTATCGAATGCTTGCTTGAAGTCTAAGAAAAGGGTAGTTACAAATAGGCCTTGGTCACGCTTGCTTGTAACGTTGTCTAGATAGTCAAGATAGCTTGTAGTGCATGACCGGCCTTTCAAGAATCCATGTTGTGGTTGTTAGTCGTCATATAGTCGACAACTGCTTTCACAATCACCTTTTCCATAGTCCTGGATACTACTGACGTGATGTTTATAGGTCGGTAGTTTTCTATATTAGATGTTGGTCCACATTTATGCTTAGGACATATGTATGATAGTTTCCAGTTCTCAGGGTAATTGCCACTGGAGAGGGACGTATTAAAGAGCTTCAAGAGAATCAGCGGGGGAACGCTAGGGAACGGGGGAATGGATCGCCAGTAAAATAAGCTGCTACAGGGCGGCCGACACCGACGGCGTCTTTCTGTCCTAATCTATCCAAGACAAAGAACTTCTCTTTTCTGCCAATGGCATTAAGTGGCCCGCCAAAGGGTGATTTTTAGGGCTTTTGCACAGCATCATATAGCAAAAAGACGTATGTATGATCTTCAAATCTCCCACCGAACTGCACCCATCGAAAGTGTACTCGCATGGATGATGGTTGAAGACGATGCATATGAAGCTTAAGGGCGTGCGTGGCCGCGGGTACCGGTATGAGTTGGGTCACTGAAACTGTTGTTAGGCATCAGTTTGCATTAAACATCGTAATCGATCTGGACATTTTTAACTTGGCATTCTCGCACCATTTTACAGTATGACCATCAGTTCAATTTCTGCCTCCCATTGCAATGCAATTCGCTGATTGGTTGACTTTTTTTCTTATATTATTATTATATTATTATTAGTCCCTTGGGTTCCTAGTGGAACATAGGGCTTCAGTAGCACGTCTCCAGTGACCTCTGTTCTCTGAGATCTTTTGAACTTGATTCCACGACAGCCCAAAAGCTCTCATTTCCTCCTCGCATGACCTCCTCCATGTCACCCTCGGACGTCCAACTCGTCGCTTCCCATGGGGATTCCACTCGAGGGCCTGACGCGTGATGTCCTCCGTCGGCCTTCTCAGTGCATGGCCAATCCATCTCCACTTCTTCCTGCATATTTGTTGCGTGATAGGTTCTTGGTTGGTTCGTTCCCAGAGTTCCTTGTTGCTTATTTTTTCTGGCCATCTGATCTTCAGCAGCGAGCGTAAGCAGTTGTTGATGAATGTCTGTAGTTTATTGGAAATGCCTTTCGTGACGCGCCAAGTCTCTGAACCATACAAGAGCACTGACTTGACGTTGGTGTTGAAAATCCGTATCTTGTGACTTTTTTTCTTACTATACAAATATCTCTAATCGCGGACAAGGCCATATTTTATGTGTACACTTATTTACGTGTTTTGGATCGGTTGATGATTATACTCTCGGAGCAATAGGCTCTCTCACCCGCCAGCTTCGATCTTTTCTCTATTCCTCTCGGAGTTGCAACCAGTGGCTCTTGCGTACTATGTTGATTGTCAGCTAAGCGTGCGTATCCCATTATTCGGAATATATACAACGTTGGCGTGCGAAGATATAACAGAAACCCGTAGCAGCCAGTTCACCGCACAAAAGTAGATAGCTTCCGCAAGTAAACTCAGCATGAGTTTACCGTAGATCCGTCTGGAGCGTCGAACAAACATTGAAGACGACCAGAAGGAGAGATTCAATCCACTTCACATTGCCGACTGTTGTTGGTGTGGTATTAGGAAGTAGACAAAGGCCTTCTACCAAATGACTGAAATCTGAGTGATATGTGATGGCACGAATGCGTTTTCATCCCGACAGATTCACCAGCTTCTGGGGGCGCAAGATCAAGTCACTGCCATTGGCCGGTTGTCACAGTGGAAGAGCATCCAAACCGTGGAATCCGTCTCTTGACGAATACTCAGCTGACTGTTCCAGCCATAACATCTGATGATGAGATGGCTTCGGCTGATTAGCAAACATATCGACGCGTGTCAGCAAGCAGAAGTAACCGTTGGAAGGTGGAAGTGGGCCGGAAGTAACTTAGTGGGCACGGTCAAATCATAATTCTGGTTAGGCGAAAGTTTCAAGCGATGTAATGTTACGTCGATTCACTTTGGACGTTTGCGTTGAGTGCACGACCGTCTCCACTTACGAACAGCAAGGTAAGGACCTGGCCTCATTAGCCTGATGGACATCACTCTGTAGACAGAGAGTATGCCGGGATGGAAACGACCGTACAGAACTCCAAAGGCATATTTGTGCAAGGGTAAGGGAACAATAGGTCTCGAAGTCTCCGTGGAAATGTCGTGCAGAATTGTCTACTCACTGTTCAGAGGTGGCACACGCTGTGTCTCCAGAAGGACAAAGCGTTGTAGTTTCTCAGCTTCCTCGTCCGAACCATGTAGTTCGGCAATCTTCCGTAAGCCAACCGTCTGGGGTGAAGTAGTGATACAAAAGCGAGACATTGCGGCTATTGATGGGTTGTTCCCACCAGAAAGGTGACAGACGTCCGATGTGAGTCACGAAATGAAGTCTAGACGCCGTAGCTTGTGCGGTGAAAATCTGTCCACAGTGGTGTGCAAAGCGCAAATCAGAAGTTTGTGGCCGGTAAATATAGTAAAGTCACGACCTTCAAAAAAGGGATGAAAGGTTTAACTGAAGCTTGCGTGGCAAGCAGCTGGCCACCAGAAACGTTGTATCCCATTTCACATGCACATGGCCTCTGGCGGAAGAAATCAGGAGATTCCCCGGTGTCATACACAAGCTGCTGCGGTACGGCTAGGGTAGTTGTGTTAGAAGCATCAACAGATACGCTGAGAGAAAGGTTGATATCTTGGTCCACTAGCCCAGTAGTGTCTGCAACGCCTATCTTGAGCTTTTGAAATGTTTCCAAAACTTTCGGAGACACGTTCAGAGTTTTGCACTTGATTTTGAGGGGATTCGCTAGTGCGGTTAAAATGTGCCCACACTGAGGGACAAAACGGCGGTGGTGAATCACCATACCAAGAAGTATGTGAAGAGATTTTGGGGAAGTTGGCCCTAGAAAGTCTTGAGTTGCCTGTAACTTTTCGGATAAAAAGGCAAATGCTATGCTCCTAGGCTGTATGTCCCAGAAAAGTTGTCGAATCCTCCGGCAGTTCGGTGAAAACTTGTTGAAATTGGCCACGATGGATATCTTCGTCTAGAATAGCAATTAGTATGTCATCCAGATGGGCATATGCAAAGTCTAACCCACGCAGGACATCGTTAATGAGGCGTTGGAAATTTCGTGCAGCATTGCGGAGATTGAAAGGCATACGAGGGAACTCTAAGAGACCGAAAAGGTGCAATGACTGCTGTCTTCGGGACATTATCAAGATGAACCTATATCTGGAGTTGCTCTAGAGTTGAGCCTTCGGTATTCATCCGAAGGACTGCGGTCCATGCCATTGTTTTTCGGTACCACACCCAAGTGTGAAGACCAAGGGCTGTTGGACGGCCTAGTCCCGATAGATGGTCTGATTGTTCCCGCCTCAGTCATGTGTTAGACTCGGCCTTGGTGGCAAACAGTTTCTCAGAAGATAACCACGGTGGCTTAGCTGGCAACACCGGGCCAGTCGTCGTTACGTAATGCGCGAAGCTGGAGGTCTCACATTACAATTTGCCTAGAAAATCTCCGGAAAGGGTTGAATAAAAGACTCGTTAGAACGTGGATTGTCCTTCGCGGTGACACTGGGATGGGAGGAGGCTTCTGTGGGATAACATTAGAAACAGAGTCTTGCGGTAGAATCAATCAACCTATGGTAACCAGTATCCTCTGGGAGCCCAGAGTGCTACAAGAGACCTAAATCAGCAGTGCCGGTGGCAGCAGTCCCAAAGAAAACCTAGCGAAAAGGATAACGTAGTCTAAGGTTAAGGTTGAGGAATCTTCCACCGTTAGTTGCAGTTGGCGAACCGTTATCGGCAAGGAGTTACAGAGAAGTTTATCACAGATGTCCTTCACTCCTGCTTGAGACGGCGTAGAAGAGGTGACGTGGAAGACGGTCGTCAGCGAAGGTAGTAGCCGTCGCATGCTGGCTCACACGCTTCCCGCCCACCTAGCTTCGAAGGTGCGAGGCCGAGAGAACTTTTTGGCGTTGGCACCGTGACGTCTGTGGTGGCAACACAACCCGGACTGGGATTACCGTGATTTGGCAGGCCTGCTGTACGAGCGAGACCCATGACTGTTGGAGGAATCGCCAGACAACATTTCCCTCCTGATGTTGCACAGCATCGTATAATTTAGTGACGTGCTCCACGGCGCTGAAATTCAATGGCCGACTGGTTGCGGGAGAAGAGAGGTCTTTTTGTGAGTCAATGGCAGTAAACATTGCAGCCGAAATACTCGTTTTCGGCTTGCTAACACCTACAGCTCTGTCAGCTGCTTCCGCCAGCTCTGTCAAGGGGGAGTTGTTGAACGGTACTGAGATTCCTCGCAATGTTTGCGGCAATCGCCTCAGCCACGTTTGTTTGTGAAATGAATTGTCACTTCTGAAGTCCGCCACTAGTGGCTTCACTGGAAGGAGTACATGCGCGGGCTAACGATGGCTGTGATGCGAGTACCTAAACAGTCCTTGCACTTTCTGCTGGTCAGTAAGTGCAACGGGTTTGATGACGGCGGCTTTGGGGCGGTAGCATACATTTGGTGCCGCATCCTCCAGTGTGTCTGACACGTATTCGACAACATTTTCGGACAAGCTCACGATAAATAAGTCCAACCTAGTTTCTCGTAAGTGAACTTTCCTCAAGGCTTCCACGTGGGTGAACCACAGAGATGGAATATGAGCCCAGGAAGTTGGAAGCTGAAGAATGATGGCCATCTGCTCCGGAGAGTCGTTATTCTCAGATACCGATGAAATATAGAAGGCACGGCGTCAATGATAGCAAAATTACGATGTAAAGTAACCAGTGGGAAAACGAAATACAAAAGCAAAAACTTCGTGCCGAAAACAAAAACAGAAAAAATGAATCACTGAACGGTTAAAAAAGCATCATAAACAGTAAGAGGATGATGCTTGACCAGCTCTGCTTATCTCGGTGTGTTCAATACCTTACCTAACTTGTAAGTGCTAATACCGAAACATTAACTCGAAAGAGTAGTACATTTGAATAGAATAAACATAGTTAGTGTTCAGTTATTTCAATTTAATCCATATATTTTGTTCGGGATGCATCTTTATACTTTGAAGGTGCACCACAGAAGTTTGACGAGGTCTTTTCGCAAGTTACGTTGCTGGGTGGGTTGGGTTGTTGCATTTGTTTCAGTTGATTTATTTCTTCATAAAAACATGGAAATCACTGTGTCATGAGAGCCTCAGTGGAATTCTAAAAAAATTAGTTTCATTCTGTACTTCACTTTTACATGCAATTGACTGCGTGAAAACCTTTAATGAAAAGAATAGTCAACCGTAGGCCTATGGTAAACCTTGTAGTACTTACCGTTGTGCAGATTCAGTTTCTCTTCGAATAGGTTGACCGAAAAATATGCTGTTATCGGTTCTAGCAGCAACTTTGAGTCGTCGGTCCCTATATATAGTCACTATAGTGACTAGCTGTAGAACGAGTACTCCACTCGATGATTTGTCCGCGGTATCCGGATCTTTTTCTGCTGGTCTCTAAGGTAATAAGTTTTAGAGGGATCAAAGTGACTAGGGGAAAATGCCTAACTCATTAGTGAAGATAAGAAAGGCTAAAATTAGATCACTTTTTCCTGTGATAAGACAAAGGGAAGAGATGTAGTCAAGCTAATGACTCTTCATACTAAAAGTAAATCATTCATTAAGTATCCACCTCAGTATTCACTTCTAGTGTGCATTACAACACTTTTGCTGGTATCTTCCAGGCTCCATCAACTACCCAGTTTATTGAGGTTTGCTTGGAACCTATGCTCATTATAAATGGTCCCTCATATTTTAATGCCGTCTGCAAATTCTAATAATGACAAAACGGGTATCTTTGGTATTTTTTAGCACATAGAAGGGAGAGTGATGGTTCAGGCACAGTGCTCTGATGAACGTCACTGGGGACAAGTTGCATGTCGAGGTAGGCAGTGCTTCAGCATGCGTAATATGTTCAGGCCACCTCAGCTGGCGACGGTTTACAACGTCATCAACTGAACTGCTTTTCCTGACCAGTATCCTTTACCCAACCTCGGCAATGTTCACACGATTATTCTGACACGTGATCAGTGCTACGAAAACACCCAGGGTAAATGTCCGTTATCGCTTAGTATCTCACTTTCGATGACCACTTCTCACAACCTCATAATGGAACAAAACGGATAGCGGCGCAGTTTACTGCTTTTTAGTAGGTGATCTGACACCTTGTCAGCACCAAAATAGCGTAAGGAAGCTAATGTCAAGTCGGATTTTTGTATTGTAACAGATTTTTTAGAGACCAACCAAATTGCCTTGATGCAGCTTTCCAGTTTAGTTGATTTGCCAACCAATCCTGAAGCAACGTACATTCGACAAGTATAAAATGCATAAAAAATTGCTCTGATTTCTGTGCAAGGCATTTAGAAGACCCTGCATTTTGTCAGCATGTTCGCCTACCGGGGTGATGTCGTCTGCATACTCCAGGTCAACGAGGGGCCTTCTATAAAGTAGGTCAGTCCCTGTAAAATCGGCGATGATAAAGGTTTTTTGCATTAGTAAGTCTGTAACAAAGCTAAACAGTAAAAGTAGCGGCGGACATCTGTGATGGACACCATTAGTTATCATCACTTAAAACTAATAACTCGGCAAAATACCTTTTGGAAGCACTCACCACAACATACCCTCTTTACTCGGAAATTCACAGGTCTATTATGACAATCGTAATGAAACTGACATGCCCATACTTTACAAGAAACGTGGAAATCGAAAATAAAATAACGGAACTCTTTTTACACAAAAAGACGTTGCTAAGACGGATTTTCTTCTGAGATGCTTTTAGTCAAAGTTTACATGGATAGATTTTGATGCGTTAAGGATAACGAGAGTCAAAACACTGCAGAAGGTTAGAAACACTGTGATGTTTTCCTAAGTGCAAGGAAGGTAGTATTCCTTTGGACAAAAAGTCGAAATGCACACAGCAGCTACATACACTTTCTTGCTGTTGGCAGTGAACCACACCTATCATATCGGGGCTAGTGATACTAATTGGCTGCCCAAACCTCGGCAGGTGAAACAGTGTTCAAATCCATGGCCCACTGGTTGGAAGTCAACTGTCCCAAAAATGGGCCTTAGACGCACTATCCTCTTCTTTCATAAATCCTAAAGTGATCAGCAAGTGCGCCGAAACAGGTGTTACTGGTCGGTCAGTTTCTGTTTTAAGAGTTATTGAGGTGATGGGATTTTATGGTTAGAATTAGTATCAATATAATATGGTACTCGTACTAATACTGATCTCCGGACAACACTTAAAAAAACGTGAAATTGGCAAACATTGTGCAATGTACCATGCATTATATCATTCCTTGTAATTTAAACAGCAATTTCCTCAGATATTGACCACAAAATTTCTGTTGGTTTGAAAATATGATTATCAGTTTAAGGCACCCGAAACATTGCCCAGAGGATGGCGGAATTCTTAAGTTATACTCCATCTACTTTGCGTAGAAAACTATTCGGGTCTCCCAAAACACACAAGTAACTGTAAGCTTATTATAGATACATTTAAAACCGATGCATACACGTAATGGTCAGAATTTAAAGTTTTGATATTATTTTAAGCAAAGCCATTACCCGTGATTACACCAATATTTGGAGTAATTGAAAAAAGTATGTCTTAAACTTAGAAATCTGGTCGTCGCGTGCAAACATTTCATATTTATTTGTAATAAGCTGATTCATCCCTTAATGTAAAAGATCTTCATGAACTTATTTATCTGCCAGGTTTTAAGCTAGATATATGACCACTACCAAGCTGTACACAAAATGCTGTATAAGGGAATGTTCGTTTAGTATTGTGCATTGGAGGTATTGATTTTGGTGTCACCATACGGTTAAATCTAGTGTTTATGCCCGGTGCAGCTGATCAGTGTTCTTTCCGTTTCAGGAATTAACACTACACACAAAACTGCGAGGGTTAGCCGTCGAATTTGCAGAAACTGGAAGAGAATGAAATCCGCTAATTCACCTTATTAGCAACATTATTATTATTATTATTAGTCCCTTGGGTTCCTAGTGGAACATAGGGCTTCAGTAGCACGCCTCCAGTGACCTCTGTTCTCTGAGATCTTTTGAACCTGGTCCCACGACAGCCCAGAAGCTCTCATTTCCTGCTCGCACGACCTCCTCCATGTCACCCTTGGACGTCCAACTCGTCGCTTCCCATGGGGATTCCACTCGAGGGCCTGACGCGTGATGTCCTCCGTCGGCCTTCTCAGTGCATGGCCAATCCATCTCCACTTCTTCCTGCATATTTGTTGCGTGATAGGTTCTTGGTTGGTTCGTTCCCAGAGTTCCTTGTTGCTTATTTTTTCTGGCCATCTGATCTTCAGCAGCGAGCGTAAGCAGTTGTTGATGAATGTCTGTAGTTTATTGGAAATGCCTTTCGTGACGCGCCAAGTCTCTGAGCCATACAAGAGCACTGACTTGACGTTGGTGTTGAAAATCCGTATCTTGTTCCGCATGCTGAGTGCAGAAGATCTCCACACTGGTTTCAGGCTAATGAACGCCTGTCTTGCTTTTCCGATTCTGACTTTGACGTCCTCGTCCGTCCCGCCTGTAGTTGAAACAGTGCTTCCTAGATAAGTGAAGGAGGTTACTTCCTTTAAGTTTCTCCCGTTGACAGTGATTGGAGTTTGTTGTTGTTGTTGTTGATGGTGGTGGTGCGGTATCTTCATCACTTCTGTCTTCTCTATATTCACCTGAAGTCCCGTCTTCGCTGCCTCTTCTATCAACTTGTTAGTTTTTGCCTGCAGATCTTCAAGTTTATGTGACATTAGGCATAAGTCATCGGCGAAATCCAAGTCTTCTAGGTTCTTTTCCGTCGTCCAGTGTATCCCCCTCTTCTCGCTGCCTACTGTTTGCTGCATGATCCAGTCCACCACAATCAAGAATATCATGGGGGATAGTAGGCAACCTTGTTTCACTCCTGTCTTCACTTCAAAGGCATCACTGAGCTTCCCATTGTGGATTACTTGGCATGTAGCATCTTCATATAGTTGTTGAATGAGGCGGATAAAGGTTTGCGGTACTCCGTAGTATTGAAGCAGTTTCCAAATTACTTCTCGGTCGACGCTGTCAAAGGCCTTCTCAAAGTCGATGAAGTTGAGGTGGAGAGGTGATTGCCATTCTATGCTCTGTTCTATGATGATACGAAGCGTTGCAATTTGGTCTGCACATGATTTGTACTTCCTGAAGCCTGCCTGTTCCGGTCGTAGTTTTGAATCCAGTGCATCTTTAAGCCTCTCCAGGATGATGCGGCTTAATATTTTACTTGGGGTGGACAGGAGAGTGATTCCGCGCCAGTTCTTGCAAGCACTGAGGTCTCCCTTCTTCGGCAGTTTGACAAGGTAACCCTTCTTCCAATCGTCAGGTACCTTCTCTTCCTTCCACACCTTCTGCAATAGTGGTGTGAGCATGTCCGCTGTTGTCTCTGCATCTGTTCTCAGTGCTTCTGGCGGTATTCCATCTGGTCCTGCTGCTTTCCCGCATTTCAGTAGCTTTATGGCGTTCAGGACTTCCATTTTCGTTGGGGGATTAATGTTCACTTGTAGTTCAGCGGCTGCAGGTGGTATTTCTGGACGAAGTGCAGGTGGTGGTCGATTCAAGAGCTTCTTGAAGTGGTCGGCCCATCGTTTCCTCTGTTTCTCTTCTTTTGTAATTAAATTTCCTTCTTCATCTTTTATTGGTTTCATCTGTGTTGGTCTCTTCCCTGATAGCAACCTGGTTATTTGATACAATGTCGTCAGGTCTCTCTTACCTGCAGCCTGTTCTGCTTCACTTGCCAGTGTTTCGTAGAAGTGTCTTTTGTCTTTGCGTGCACTCTTCTTCACTTCTTTGTCCAGTGTTTTATACATTGTGCTCAGTTCATCTTGTCGTTGAGCATCCTTGCACTGGTTTATCTTCTGCTTCACCATCCTCCTCTCCTCTATCAGCTTCCAGGTATCTGTCGAGATCCATTCCTTGTCTTCTTTCTTCTTCCTTCCTAATACTGTTGTGCAGGTTTCTTTCCACATAGCTTTCAAAGACTTCCAGTGTTCTTCCACACAGGTTTCTTCAGGGATGTTCCTCGATGTCTCCCATTT